ATACAACCTTAAAGAACACTGTCTATTCTATTCAATTACCCACTGGTTTTGTAGTATTGACTTTAATTAATGCAAATGGATTGGCATGTCCTTCAAAGGCAGCCATTGAATGTTTTTGTTCTACATGACACTGTGATGCTTGTCATACAGCATTTCACTATTTGATCAGTTCAACAGAACCAGTTTTATTTTTTAAATTGAATATAGATTTGTCTAAATTGATTGAGAACACTTTAAATGATAAAACTGTGAAATGTGTCAAAGGAACTATTAAGAAATAAATTAATAAAATAAAAGTCCTGGGGTTTTTTTAACAATCAAAAGGAAATTCTAACCTGAAGGATTCACGTCTGTTGTTAGGTTCTACCATTGGATGGTCATAGCCGGTTGCCAACACCATCTCCAGAGTCCCCTTCGCACGTGGTCCACTTTTCTGTCCGTCCTCATCACACCACCACCACGCCCACCACCACCTCTGGTGCTGCATCAAACTCGTCTGACTCAGAGTACAGCTTTAACACCACAGCGTCTGGTATTAGCCAGGAGCTGCAAAACTACAACCTCTTGTCACACAGAGCAGCAGCTCGAAGGGAGGAGCTGCAGTACGACCTCCAGACCAGCAGAGGCAGAGTATTGAGGCCCGAGGAGGACAGAACAGGCTCTGGGCACAGGTGTTCAAACCGACAACCTGAGCCTCCAGCTTACACTGTGTCTTCGGTGAGGAAACATCTCCTGCTGTATGAACCCAGATTAAATCTCCATTTTGAATTTTTTTTATTTAATTCTATTATTGTCTGTCTCTTTTCAGAGTTGTGACTCTGGGCCTCAGGTGGGAGCTGCTCAGCACAGCAGCAGCAGGAGGAACTCTAAGAGTCAGCTGCACTGGCAGGTCTTGCCCCCAGCCTGCCCGCGCACAGACGCTTTTGAAACTTCTACTGAGGCTGGGGGCCATTACGGCCCACATGGCCGTAGAGAGCACTCAAAGAGCCAAAGAGCTTGCACTTCTCACAACCCACAACCCAATCATCACCTCCCACATCACCACCCTAACTCCACTCCATACTGTCAACCCATCACCACAGCTTCAGCCTCGGTCGCTGTTGCTGTTCACCCGCCCCCCTTATCCAACCACAACCCTCCCACCTCTTCTTACCCAGGATACACTGCAACAGACAGTTACTGCCCTACAGGTCCTGGGGTATCAGAAGCAGTTTTCCCCGACCCCCATGTGCCTCAGGACACCCAGACAGGGACCAGAGAAGTCAATGTGGAGGCCATGGAGCTCCAAGATTTGGTGTTGAGCTGAAAGCAGCTACAGCAGACAGGCCAGCTGAAGTGAGTTTACACTCTGTCGCGTCCCCTGTACTCTGACTCACATTTATTATAATACGGAAGCGGTGTTAATTTCTACAACCAATTCTGATTTCATTTTAGTCATATCATTACATAGTAAGTTGGTCCAAATGTCATCAGTCAAACATGTTTTACTTTAGTTTAGTTTTGGTCTATGAAAGCTAATTTTATTCAACCAAAAACCAGAAATCTATCCATCCATCCATCCATCCATTTTCATCTGCTTACCTGTTACTGGGTCGCAGGGGCAGCAGTCACCACCCAAATCACATTGCACTGTACCAACCCCCCTAAACCTTCCTATGGGTGATGAGTCCACTGGGAGGTACCAACTGCCCTAACCGGGATTCAAACCTGCCCAGGTGGTGAACCCTGGGGTTCCGCACCAATGACAGAGACATTGCCTCTGGGCCAAAGCGCCACACCAGAAATCTATGTGAAATATTTTGATTTTAAACTCTGTTTATACAATCTTAGGCTTTAATAGCATTCCCATAGCAAACTGCTTTATTAAACATTTTATGTTTGTTTTTTTATTATTTCAATATTTATTTGCTTCACCATGGTGAAGCACTATAGCAGTGCACGCAGTAGTGCCGTGCATCCAGAAAGCCCTGTACATTCAGCAATAGGTTCCATATTGAGTTTTTTCTCTTTGAACATCGAAATCATAATAAAGTTGTTAACAGTCATATAGTCAAGAGTCAATGTGTTTTCCTTAGGAGACTCTGTATAAATTAACATTTTCCTGTTAACCTGGAGCCTTTGGTTGATTCTTCTTGTACAGCTAATCTTGATGGCCTGTGTTTTTCCTTTACAGTTGTGGGGACAGACGTACAACAGCCAAAGATGGACTCCTCTCTGTTGACAGCTGACAGCTGACTTGGCCTGGCACAGCCCAGCTCACCTCCAGCTTTTTGTAGCGAATCAACTTGCCAGTATTTGCCGTCACTGTCATGGTGCTTATTCTTACTGTAACCCAGTGAACTATTGTCTGAGATGATTCTATATCTATATTTAAAAGATGTGAACATGTGTAAATATGAACAAAATAGAAAAAGTAGCTATAATTTTTACAACTCGTCAAAACAAACTGAGACTGCCATTTCTGTATGGTGTGTGTCTGTGCGTGTGTGTGTGTCTGTAAATATGTGTTTTTGAGTGAGAGATAGTTCTTTTATTACTGTTCATTCATCTGTGGATCTGTGCCATGAGAAAGCTTCATCTTGACAAACTCATCGCTCATACATTTTTTTTAAACTCTATGCAAACGTCCTCTTAAACAAACACAATTGGTCTCTGCGTGTGTGTGTGTATTATTGTATAAAGGTACTCATTTTAAACTATTATTGTTTATCACAAGCCTGTGGTAGTTACAAAACAGATACAATTGACTTTGACACGCTATGCATGCTATTTAAGATGAGAAGATATGAAGAAATTTGAAATGTTCTGTTAGTTACGGCCTCTGCAACGGAACCTGTTTCTACTCTCATCTTGTCAGAGTGTTAGGCTGCTCTCTGTGGTTGTTTTTGTTTTGTTTTACTTTTATTTTACCGTAACGGGTTAATTTTGAGTGGCGCTTTGGCCCAGAGGCAATGTCTCTGTCATTGGTGTGGAACCCCAGGGTTAACCTCCTGGGCAATTTGAATCCGGTTAGGGCGGTTGGTACCTTCCAGTGGACTCACCACCCGCAGGAAGGTTTAGGTACGGTGCAATGTGATTTGGGTGGCGACTGCCACCCCCGCAACCCGGTAGCGGATAAAAATGGATGGATGGATGGATGGATGGGGTAATTTTGATTAAATTCCAGCAGGCTCACAACAGATTTATTGATATTAGGGGTGTAATGGTATGCGATATAATATAATTTCCAGTCCAACAGAAATTTGATCAAGAAAATTAGAAAATAGTAAATTTCTAAGTTGTCAACAAATTAGAAAAAAAAATTAATTGCAGCATGGCTCCTGTATGTCTACTCTGACACTCCTCCCTCAGCTCCACTGACTCTGTCGATTCACATTAATTGATCCAAGTCATACTCATAGTCAAGTGATGCAGTTTAAATTGAGTTATATTTGATACATTTTCAGGACTGTGAACTGTAATTTACTAGTGCAACAGTACTGTTCCAAAACCTGAAAAAAAATATCTTCGTCTGTGCTAACTGATAACTCGGGGTGTAAGAAAATAATCAATATGCTGAAATATCCATTCATCCATTTTCATCCGCTTATCTGTTACCGGGTCACAGGGGCAGCAGTCGCCACCTAAATCACACTGCACCGTACCAAACCCCCCAAAACCTTCCTGCGGGTGGTGAGTCCACTGGAAGGTACAAACTGCCCTAACTGGGATTCCAACTTGCCCAGGAGGTGAACCCTGGGGTTCCACACCAATGACAGAGACATTGCCTCTGGGCCAAAACGCCACATGCTGAAATATCACCATCTTTCATTTCACAAGACCATATTGATATTTTACAGCACTGCATTGATTTCACTTTATTTTTACTTTATGTTAATAAAGTAAAAAAAAAATGCAATGCAAATATTCATGGCGTTCAATTTCATTTTGCTTTTATTACTTTTCTTGCGATCACAAATGTAGATCCCCATTCCAATTTTAATAACCTGATGTTACGCATGTAACAGCATGCATGTTTACTTTGCTGACAGTTTTCCTACAATGAAATTGTTAAAAAAAAACTCAATATATCGTTGTACCTACAGTATCCCAGTATATTGCAATATATCTTATGTATACTATACTATACGTATCGTATCGCCAGATTCTTGCCAATACGCTCCCCTACTGTAAACTGATAGTAGATGAATGACTTGTGGGAACAGAAATTGGGCTCCGTCATATCAGTACCGTTACACCCTTAGCTAACATACACGCATTTAAATTCACCTCTAAAACCCAGGTCTTCCATTTCAGGGTCAGTGTCAAGACTGATCCCTGACTTTTGGATCTGGGTCAACACAGGGTGCATGGTCTGCATCTAAACTCAATATGACTAAACAGAAAAGCTATAGTTCAGACTGCATACTGAAGGACTCAGCATTGCACTTGTTTGTGTTTCGAGAACATCTCACCTCAAACAGCTGTAGTTCTGTCCTGTCAATAAGCTATTCCCAGTGGAATTTACACAGTCTTTACCCCTTAACATATCTCCATGTATATGTGTGTGTGTTTTGACCGTCAATGTCCCCAGACTAACTCCTAACTGTCACTAAACTGGTGAGATGACACATCAGCGCCACCTCCTCTTCCTCCTCCTCTCCTTCTGCAGTGGGCACTTCATGAATGCATGTGTATCTGTGTCAGCGTACATAACCACAGCCACCTTCTCACCCCCGACACCCAGACCTCAGCCCCCTGTTGGCCCCTTTAACCCTCTTCTTACAGCTGGTTTACACTTCACACACTCACTTCCTGTTCGCAAATAATTCTTTCCTGCTATTTTCTTCATTCTGCCTCCACCACAGTGCATCGTCAGCTGCTTGCATGAAATAGTTTTCTTTTTTTCTTCTTTATTTGTTTGTGTCTTCCTCCCATTGTCATATTGGAAGGAGTGGAGAGAATCATCGTTGGCAACTATTTTATTCATTTTTGTTCGTCTGATTTTTTTTGTTGTTCATATTTTCACAATTGAGTGCGATATTTATATTTTTGTAATATAAAACCTTTTTTTCATTGTTGTGATACCAGTGGATAACAAATGCAGGGATTTTTATGTCTATTGAAAAAAAGAAATACATGATTACAGTTTAATCTGTACAAAATGATATGTATAAAGTGCTTACTGATGTTAAATAGAAAACGAAAAGAATATATTTTTACACTACAGGTCTCACTATAGCGCTAAGAGGATTTTTAAAAGGAAGCAATAAAATAAAAATCAGAGGTTCCTCCAGAATGCCATGTGGGTGTTGGTTGGCGTTGATGTATGCTGTTTTCAGTTACAAAGATAAATGTATGCCATATAATTTATTTATATGAAAATTTATTTTTGTAGTGTACATAGTAGTTGTCAAGGTATTTGACAGAAGTATACTTTTTAAAGAGTTTATATGTAATAGTATACCATAACAGAACAAGAAAAGAAAAAAAACCTTAAGGTGCACACTTTTCATTGCTAACTGTCTTGTGAGACAACATCAACACCTCTCTTACAGTATTATGTTCCGACCTTTGGACAGAGAGAGACAGCTGTTTGTCAAAGGCTAGCCATGGAAGTATGAAGTTGTACTAGCTCTCTAAATATTAATGTTCAAACACTGATAGAATTCTAACAAATAAAAAATATAACTTGTTTGTCTCTTTGTTCATAACTTTAATAAATGGAAACTCAAAGAATCACTTTGGTCTCACTGTGACTTAATTAACATTTTAAATGTTAAAATAAAATTATATTTTATTACAATGCAAGAAATGCATAAAAAAAAAAAGTATTAAATCTACCATAGACATTTACAGAGCCCCTAAAGGGACATGGGGGAAAAAAAAGAAACGTATCTCGTGCTCACGAGAAACCTTAGGTTAAGCACAGGCAGTTGTGTTTCCTGTGCATATGCACCTAGGCCTAATCTTTTTTTCATGACGTATAATCCATTATTATTATTATATATTTCGTGATAAGTTTCATGTAATTACATGATAACTTTCACGTTACAGTGGTCCCTCTCTTTATCGCGGTTCTACTTTCGCTTCCTCAGTACATCACGGATTTTTTTAAACCAATCTCGGGACATTAAAAATGCTTTAATTTCCAATATTTTCATTATTTTTGTGAAAGATAATAATTTTCTAGCCTAAAAAGGAAAAACTGTGTTTTAATAAACGATAAGACATTTTGCCACACATACATACATACAGGGTAATACATTAAAAAAACAAACATCATGTACATTACGTACGGTTGGGAAATCTAAGATACCGGCATGTCATGTGTGACATATGTACTGTATATATGGTGAGCATTTAATTAATGTAGGGTCCCTCATTTAGACACAGGGGGGCACTGTTGTTGTTGTTGTTGTTGAAGGGTAAATACGTATATACGCATAGGACAGTTTTGTCATTTCAATTTCAAAATCTAATATTTTCATGTTTCAACTTTGATATTACTTAATATTCCCAGAAGTTTGCTTCCATAATGAATTTTGCACAATTGGCATAATTTCTTAAGGCAAATTGGTCAAACTTGTGTGTAACTACCTTCATATACTGGACTAATATATAGTACTAATATATTTTTATAAAAACGATAAACGATATTACTGGAGCGAATGTGATGGAGGTGATTGGTAGAAATGTGCGTTAGATCACCTTTCCATTCATCAATGGAGTGTTCTCTTTCATCCAGCTGCTTATCATAGATCTGAGGTGGAGGCTGAGTAAGAGAGAGAGAGAGAGAGAGAGAGAGATCATTAAACGATAGAAACAAAACAGTAACAGGAAAATAATAAGGCATTCAACAAGACCACCCGCACAGGAAAGTACCCCCATATTATATTATGTTATATTATATTATATTATATATTTTCTTTGTTCTTGGCTGTAAGACAGGACATTGTATAGAAATTCAAAATGGAACATTGTACATAGATTAGAGTAAGAAAGCAGAAAGCTCTACGATGTTAAAATTAACTTTAATAAAAGTAGATGTTAAGTCCAGCTATATACCACTGTATTAAAAAGCACTTCTGCCTATTATGGTCGGATAGTGGCATCCTAAACAGGCCACATGTGGCTGTAGTATAAATGAAAGAAGGCATGGAAGTATGCCCGAAAAGTATTACTCGGGATGCAGTATTGACCTGAACAGATGCTGTAACAGATGCTCGGACATGTGCATCTTTTCTTGAAATCCTTGGGCTTGTCCCAGTGTTTCTCCGCTTTGGTCTCAGCAGCCAAGTTACCTCACCTGTTTATGAAGCCCAGGTCTCAGCTGCAATCAGAGATCCAGACCCAAAGAATGACAGAAGCCTTGCAGGATGTTAAGGAGATACAGTTTTGGCTGGACAAAGTGGTGGCCTGGAGCCAGAACAAGAGTCCAGATACTCTGAGAGACATCAGCCGGCACCTGAGAAAACTCTGCGCTTACCTCTAGCAACTGTTGATACATGTCAACAGCTTGGTAAGAAGCAGATGCTAAAAGGAGATTTTTTTTTTGGAGGGGGCGGTTGTAAAAGTATGTTTTTGTACAAGTCTTCACATGTAAATGGAAGTCCAAACTGGATCATCCTTTTTTGGTATACCCTACCATGTTGTTTTAACCATGGGCCACTGTAGACAAACTAAACACGTGTGATTTAGTGATAACTTAAGCCTAAAACCATGTAATCTTTTACATGATTGGATGTTAATAGTGAGGTTATAGGGTTCTCTTATCATCCAGAAATACAAGTAAGATAACATTCCCAGTTTAAAACTTAAGAAAGTGGAGCATTCTCCTTAAATATACAGTAGATTTGCAATAATTGTAAATTCAAACCTAGAGCTGAATGCAGATTTCCTGACTGGTTGGTCAACACAATTTTAGAGACAGACAAGATGCCTGATGAGTGGAGGAAAAGTGTTCTGGTGCCAATTTATAAGAAGGCTGATGTGCAGAGTTGTAACAACTACAGAGGGATAAAGTTGATTGATACAGTTTAAAAGGCAAACTCTCCAAAATCCTTAGTTCCCAACCTGGTCGTGGGAAAGCCCGCTTTATAGACTATTGTCAGGCTGTTTTACAGGCAACACAACACAACACAACTTAACCCCTAATCCTAATGACAAAAAGTAAATAAGCCAATCAATTACACTGAACAGCCAAGAGCCATCTGATTAATGAAGCAGAGCTATGTTCCTGGCTAACAGTAGCTGCTCTGTGCACAACCCATGTATGTGTGGCTGGCAGTGCTGCAGTGTTGAGTTAGTCAGGTAATAGCCACAAAGGGACCTTCAGCGCTAACCTAATGTATCCCCACATAAGGTAGGCAAATATGGGATGGGAGCAGAGGATGTAGAAGGTGTACAACTGTAGGATTCCACTATTGCCACAGCCATGCTTTTCTCTTGCCTCCTCTTACTCTTTCTCTGTCTACCCTGCGTCTACCAGTTTGAGCTTTTATGAACCCTTATTCACGTCTCATCCTCATGTTCAAAATATTGTTATAATGTCATTGTGTTTGTAGCAGTTTTTTATTTGTGTATATCTGCGGATGTGTTTTACTGTCGTACTCTAGTTACAATCATTCAGTGTCCATGTTTGTCTGTT